GGACTAAATTCAGATAGTACACTTTAATTTTATTGATAACTTCACTGAAGTATATGGCCGCATTTTCCAACCTCACTTAAGAAACGTTTGTGTGAGAGTAAAGCCTATCCCTAACATTAACCCAAACACATAAACTATAAACGATAACGACATTCAGTCTTGACCATAGCCTTGGTTTACATATTTAAATTTTTGAGCACAGGTTCATGCTGAGATCTTGCAAAGATCGACTTTGAAGTCTACCAAAACCATAACCTGATCCCCACCCGAATTTTGAGATGTTCGTGAAAAAACTTAATACAAAACTACAATAAGTTACCGATGTGACAATTATTGATCGGAAGCATAAGTCATCCGATGATGCGGGTCCATCATCTTTTTCGGGACGACCACCTTAATCGAGAAGATCATCTCTTTCGAAACGACAATGGATTTGAATAGAATTATTTTTTTAAAGTTAACTCTTCCGAAAATATAAATAGGCGATTTAGAGGACGAAAACTTATTGTTAGGCTTGTCCGTCGAAAAGTACTCCCCCTTTCATGTCATTTTTTTTTATTTCAATCCGATCCCAAGATAAAGTAAGACCTTCAAAATAACAATTTAGGGTTAGGGTTAGAGTTACGGTTATGGTTAGGCTTTGGGTCAGGGTCAAGGTTAAGGTTTTCGTTAGGGTTTGGGTTAGGGTTAGTGATTGGATTATGGTATGGGACTTTTGATTTCTTAGTTTAGTGTATGAAAAGTGCCTCAAACTTGAATGTTAAAACAGGTGTAGAATGGATTCAGATAGAGATATTTTGTTAATGTTAACTTTTCCGAAAAGCTAAAAAGGCGATCTAGAGGATGAAGACTTATTGGTATCACTGAAATATATGGCCGCACTTTCCGACCTCACATAAGAAATGGTTGCGTGAGAGTAAAGCCTAACCCCAACATTAACCCAATCACTTGAACTACAAAAGATAACGATATTCAGTCTTTACCATAGTCTTGGTTTAGATATATTTTAATTTCAATCCAATCGGAACACTGGATCATGCTGAGATCTAGCAAAGATCGACTTTGAAGTCTACCAAAATCATAACCTGATCCCCATCCTTCCAAAACTGTGATTTTCGAGACGTTCGTGAAAAAAACTTAATACAAAAATACAACTCGGCTGTGATTTTTTATGTGCTGGGTTAGGTTGTTTTAATTTATTTATTCGTTTTTATTCTGTAGTTAATCACCACTTCGGTTTATCATGAATATTTATCATACAGTCATTTTATAGAAAATTACTGTTTGCAAAAGTATGAATTATTCTATATAGAAAGGATGTTCTTGTCCCAGGCAGAAAACTCTAGCCGTATGAGGCACAACTATTCGGAACCTTTGGTCCTCAGTGCTCTTCGGCTTTGCGCTTGTTTTGGCTTTCGAATTTTTTTTTTATGTGTTTCCCTCAGTTTTAGTTTGTAACCCGGATTTGTTTTTTCTCAATCGATTTATGAATTTCGAACAACAGTATACTACTGTTGCCTTTATCAACCACCAAGACTACTTGTATTTATCCCTACCGAGATAAAGTAAGGCCTTCAAAATACTGATTTAAAGGAATTTTGGGTTTGGGTTTTTAATCCTAACAGATGTGACAATTATCGGTCGGAAGCATAAGTCGTCGTACCGAGATAACTATTTATAGATAGGGTTACTGATGTGCCCTTTTTCACTTCTGCGCATGTCTGCCCTTTTTTGTGACTGCGCATGCGCGAGTAGGGTAAGGGTTAAGGTTAAGGTGAGGGTTAGGGTTAGGGTAAGGGTTAGGATTAGAGTTAGGGTATTAGGAATTTCAGAGAATAATGGGTCGTGGTATCAATTTAAAGGTAACCGTTGTGATATGGCTGGCGTATGAATATATGAGGGTAAGGGTTAGGGAAGGGGACTTTGGCGAGATTTTTGCACTTTTTGACTTCTACGCATGTGTGCACTTTTTAACTTCTGCGCATGCGTGAAAATATTGACTTACACTAAGGGGTAAAACGTAGCTCTGTCGTTAGTGGTCTATTGTGGAGAGTTGTCTCATTGGCAATCATACCAAATCTTCTTTTTTTTATATTTATCTTTTCGGAACAGTTCACTTTAAAAAAAAATCTCTATTTAAATCCATTGTAGTCCCGAAACAGATGGTCGTCCCGAGTAAGATGGTCGTCCCGAAAAAGCTGATGGACCCGCATCCTCGGGACGACAACTTATGCTTCCTGCCGCTAATTGTCACATCGATTAGGATTTAAGGCATACAGATTCGGTGCATCAGACACTGTGAGAAGGTAACGCAAACCCAAAATTCGTTAAAATCGGTATTTTGAAAGCCTTACTTTATCTCTGAAAAGATAAGGATAAGTAGTCTTAGGGGTAACCGATTGTATTTTCTGATAAAGAATTTTCACGAACGTCTCAAAAGTCATAGTTTCTGATGGGTCGGGGTCAGGTTATGGTTTTCGGTACTTTTCAAGATATCAGCATGATTCTGTGCTCCTATCGGATTGACATTAAAATATCTATCCTAAAAAGGAAACCAAGACTATGGTGAAGACAGTATGTCTTTATCTTTTGTAGTTTAAGAGTTGGGGTTAATGTCGGGGTTAGGCTTTACTCTCTTACAAACGTTTCTTCAGTGAGGTCGGAAAGTGCGGTCGTACACCTCAGTGTTACCAATAAGTTTCAGTCCTCTAGATCACATTTTTCTGTTTTTAAGAACAGTTAATTTTAAGAAAACATCTCTATGCAAATGAATTCAACACATGTTTGAATAGTGAAGTCACTTTTTGAACACTGTACTTTTGGGGAAATGTCACGCATGTGCAGAATTGACAAAGGGCACTTCAATTGTCAAATATTCGCTCAAGTTCACTTCCTCTTACCCTGACTCCGACTTGGTACAGGCGTTTCCTCATGTATAATTATAAATTCACTCTTCTGAGATGCTTTTAATGCCAATTATAGCTATTTTGATTAAGAAAATAAATATATACAGATTTCTTCTGTTTGCAATTAGTTTAAAGCCAATGTAATCACAAAACCTGTACATAACATAGGATATTTTCACCCTTTAATCGTTATAAAAAATATATAAAATTACTACACAGGATCTTGAGGGTTTTTTTCATGATCTATTTCTCTGGAAACAGATGAATTGTTCATGGAGAAATAAGAACAAAACAGTAATGAATCTTTTATTTGCGGTGTGATATTCACAACAAAATATACATGTATGTATGCAGTTTACAAATACAACAAAAATAAACACTAAACGTACACTCTCATACACTTTTATATAACAACATAAAAAAATATACTTAACATTCTTATCAGTTAGCACTAAATACCTTGCATTTCATTTCACAACAAACACACATGATTTATAAATAACACATACAAACTACTACACACTCACATAGCACAAAAAGTAGACCTAAAAAGCAAGCACTAAAAAAATTATATTTACATTTTTACATCAAACATTCTAACAACTATACACTGACAAAAACAAAGATTGTGAATTTTTCAAAGAGAAAGTTTAATAATAATGTTACTTTTAAACTATGTAATTAAATTATTGAAATTAAAGATTCATATGTTTATCTTGGTCTGCTGTGTAATTACAACGGAAACTTCTTTTAAGCTCGAAAAAAAAATTGGTAGACTTTATTTGATGCATTGTTGGTTCCTATTTTGACCTATTCCTCGGAAATATGGGAGTTTGAAAATAAAAATAATACAGAAAAAAATACATCTACAATTTTGTAAGCGCATTTTGGGGGTGCGATCGTCTACGCCAAATTGTATGGTGTATGGGGAACTTGGAAGATTTCCATTTGAACTGCAAATCAAGTTAAAATTGGGATGTTTTTGGTACAAGCTAGCAACAAATGATATAAAAAACTATCGGGTAAACTGTATAAGTTACTTTGGTACATGCATGAACATGGAGGTTATGATATCAAATGGTTTAACTATGTAAAATCTGTGTTTAATGACCGAGGCTTTTGTGAACTATATAATATTCCGGAGCAAATTGATGTTAATTATATTAAAATTAATGTAAGGCAGCGTCTCCAGGACCAGTTTATTCAAAAATGGTTATCTGATATAAACTACTCATCAAGGGGGTTTTTATTTACATTTTAAAGAAGAGTTTTGCTCAAAACCATATCTGTTAAAATTAAGGCGGGGTCATAGAGTAAATATATGTAAATTAAGGGTATGTAATACAAAGTTTCCCATCGAAACAAGAAGATGGAGAAATGTACCACGAAATGACAGAATTTGTCCACTTTGCAAAGCAGGTCTTGGGTATGTATACCACTATATATGTAAATGTACCAATTGTGAAGTTAAGGATTTAAGGGGGAAGTTCATACCTCCATATTATTTAAAATATCCAAATGTAAAAATAGTACTATGCATGCTTAAACATTGTAATAGTAAAGTGCTGTCTAAACTAATTACGCATTCTTCTTCGGATGAGTTTTCTTTAATAAACTATAAACTATAAACTATAAACTAAACAAAAAAAAAGCACTGGAAAACAGTCCTATCACATATCTGTTCCATATTGCACCCACATCTACCTCTACCTCTTTCCTCTGGTTTTTAATGAAACCTGTAAAATAAAGAACCGGAATTACTAATAATTACTACCTCCTCTCCTATTACTAGTAGTATGTTCGTATGTTCGTATATTTGGTTTTCTTTCTTTTTTAAGGGGAGGTGGGATGTGTTCCTTGAAAAAAAAAAAGAATGCATAGTGTGATCTTGTTTTACATCTTGATCATTAGGACTTCAATAAAGAAGGAATAAAAAGAAAGTAACTTTTTATCAGTGTGCACTAAGTTCCGTGCAAGTAATATGTATTTAATGAATAATTGTATTCGTGAAAACGATCGTTGTAAATATAAAACCAAAAGTTATCAAATTGGTTCTACACTATCATAAATCGAGCAAAAATCTTACCTAAAAACGGATTGGCTCCATCTCTATCAGGTCTAAATTGGTGTCAATGACCATCATGTCATCAAAATCTATAAGGTGAACTGCACCTGGAGTTGGTGACAGTGCTGGAGTTGTGTCAACTGGAGTTGGTGACAGTGCTGAAGCTCGGTCAATTGGTGTTGGTGAAGGTGGTCCAGCCTGTATTGATATGCAAATGAAATATAAGTTGTTATCTTAAAATTTCTTGTATTGGTAATCAATTAATATTTCTAATAGAATCTTACAAAAACAAATGTTCAACAACACGTCGGTACTTGTACATACGATTTTGAAATGTTGAAAAGTAGTGCCATATTCTGTGTTACCTAAAGTAACGGGTTTTTTGTTGGCTACTATATTGAACTGTATGTCATCGAGTGATGTTAGGCACATAATATTACCTGATGGTTTCTGGAAAGATGGATTTGCAGGTCTTCTTTTCTTCTGTACACTTTCTTGCAGGTATCACATGCAAATCTGCCTGCTCCCTAGTGTGTCTTCTGACTAGCTTTCTATAACAAAAACAATGGAATTGTCTACAGATCCCTCCTTTTTTAAACTTATGACATAGTATATCGCGTATTTGCGTTTCTGTACGATAAGGTATAATCCATAGTCGAAGAACTGAATAAAATTTAAACCATTATTGAAATTTGATAAATGATTGAACTCGAATAAACATTTGATAAGGATAGGCGCAGAAATCGCGCTGCAGATGCAACCAGAACGGTATCTCTCATTAACATTGTCGATAATAAAATCAGAAATCTCATTCTGCATTTGTACGGAACAATTATATGATGTAATTCCATTTCACTGGTACATTTGTATGACACAAATTACAATAATATAAAATCGACTCATGTTGTATACTGCTTAAAAATTTTGTACCAAATAATTACCTGGTGTACTGTTCTTTCATGTCTTCTCAGGGAATCTTTTGATTTGAATGTCTTAGTACATTCTCCACAACCAAGGTCATGTTCTGTGTGGACAAACCTGACATGCCTTGAACGGCCCGATCTTGACAGAAATTCTTTGTTGCAGGTACCGCACATGTAAGTCTGAAATATAAAAACAAAGCATTTAAAATATATGATCACATTTTTGGGGGACAATTATATATATAATATTTATATTGATCACAATAAAAAGTGACAATACTTTTTTATTTTATTAATATTCATGAAATTGCTTCATATTTGGTTATTTTTTTCACAAAAATGATTTTTAGAAATATAGGTAAAAAAAAAATAGGTTTACAATTGCATAATTTGTAGTCACTTGCCAAAAAAAAAGGGCCAAAATTTTCAATCTTGCTTGTATATTATACAACAACATCTAAATTATGTTCTTTTTGCCCTCAAGGATGAATAGTTTTACAAAAAAAGAGAGCTGTATAAGTCTAGGATTAGCATTATTCATGTCAATAATGATTAAAAGTGACAATATTTCTTTTTTTCATTAATATTTTTGTACTTTCCCGTTATTTGAGTCATTTTTATACCTCATGTTGGAAAGTTACACATAAAAGTGAAGAATATTTACTTTCGAATTGAAAGCCATGTTGTTTCATTATAAAAAAAAAATATCGATATTTTTAATTTTGTTAGAATATTTTACTAGAACATTTAAATTCTGTTCTTTTTGTCAGTAAGGATGAATAGTTTTTCAAAAAATTAGTATTCTAATAGTCTATAGTTACTAATATGTATGCTGATAGCATTAAATAATGACAATATGTCTTTGATTATTTATATAATTTTGAACTAGTCTGATAATTGGGTACTTTTCATAACTAAGATTGATTTGTTAGACATAAATGTGAAGAAGTTTCAGTTTTGAAATTTAAAAAAATATTGTCGCATAAAACAAAGGTGCCATATTTCATTTTATTAAAATACTATACAACAGCATTACAATTTTGTTCTTTTTCTCCCTAAGGAAGAATAGTTTTACAAAAATTGAGAGATGTATAAGAGTAGGGTTAGTAATATGTACATCAATAACAATAACAAGTGATGATACTTCTTTTATTTTTTCATATTCTTGTACTGCCATCATATTTTGGTAATTCTTACTCAACAAAATGGATTTTAAGACATAAAGGTAAAGAAATTTAAGTTTAAAGTTGCACAATTTGTTGCCACACACAAAAAAAGTGCCAAGTTTTCATTTGTTTTAGAATATTATACAAAGGGCATCTAAATCATGTTCTTTATGTCCATAAGGATGAGTGGTTTTACAAAAATAGAGAGCTGTATAAGTCAAAGGTTATCATTAATTATGTCGATAATGATAAAAAGTGACAATATTTCTTTTTTCAATAAAGTCGCATTACAATTCTGTTCTTTTTAGCTGATAGCTCTATAAGTGTACTATTAGAAATATTCATATCCTTAACAATTAAAAGTGACAATACTTCTTTTGTTCTATTATTATTTTTTACTGCCTTTATATTTGGGTATTTTCATTCCACAGAATAGATTTTTATATAAACAGGTAGTTTTAAATGGCAAAATGAGTTGCCACATGCAAATAAAATGCCTAAATATTCATTTGTTTTAGAATCTTTTACAACGTCATCTTAATTATGTTTTTATTTATGCCTAACGATGAATGGTTCTAAAAAAAAACAAGGGCTATATGAGTCTATATTTATGTCCATAATGATAAAAGGTGACAGTAATTTTCATTAATATTTTTGTACTGGCCTGACATTTGAGTAATTTTATACCTCAGATTTGCTACTCATAAAAGTGAAGAATTTTTTGTTTTCAATTGCAAATATGTTGTCTCATTATTGAAAATAACTAATACTTCGGTTAGTAATATTTATATCTATCACAATAAAAAGTGATGCTTCTTCTTTTATTTTATTGATATAAATATAAGTTTAGAATTGCAAATTTTTTTTCAATTTTATTAGAATTTTACACAACAACATCTAAATCATGTTTTTTTTTGTGTGCCCAAGAATGATTAGTTTTACAAAAATCAAGATGTATAAGTCTCAGGTGAACATTATTCATGTCGAATAAAGGTGACAATATGTCTTCTGTTTCTATATATTCTTGAACTGGTCTGATAATTGATAACTTTTTATACCTCAGATTGGTTTGTTAGACTTGAACGTGAAGAAATTTAAGTTAAGAAATTAAAAAAATTGATGTCGCTTAAGAAATAGATGCTAATAATTTCTATTTTATTAGAAAATTATACAATGTCATTACAATTCTGTTCCTTTTGGCTATTCGAAGGAATAGTTTTACTAATTTTACTAGAATTGCAAAATTTGTTGGTACATGCAATAAAAGTGCTGATTTTTTTCAATTTCATTAGAATATTATACAACAACTGAATCCCAAGTAACTAGGTAGTTTGATATATTGCTGTCAAATTCAAAAATTAATATAATCTTTGTCAAAAAAGCTTGAACTCCAAGTTCGGACTAAATTCAGATAGTACACTTTAATTTTATTCATAACTTTTTCAAACCAACTTGGATTTACATTAAACTATACAGCTATATCAGTAATACATTGAACTTACTGAATCCAATGTTTTATGCAGTTTGGCGTATTGCTGTCAAATTCAAAAGTTCAAATAATCTTGGTAAAAAAAGCTCAAATTTGCAGTTCAGACTAAATTTAGATAGTACACTTTAATTTTATTAATAACTTTTTTAAACACCCTTTGATTTCCATCAAATTATACATCTATCTCATTTATATATTGACCTTACTGAATCCAAGGTGCTTTTGTAGTTTGGTGTATTGGTGTCAATTCAAAAACTAAAATAATCTTGGTCAAAAAACCTAGAATTTGCAGTTCAGACTAAATTAAGATAGTACACTATAACATTTTTCATAACTTTTTTAAATTACCTTGGATTTTCATCAAACTATGCAGCTAACTGAGTTATAGATTTATCTTACTGAATCCCAAGGTACTAGGTAGTTTGATATATTGCTGTCAAATTAAAAAAATTAAAATATTCTTTGTCAAAAAAGCTTAAATTTGCAGTTGGGACTAAATTCAGATAGTAAACTTTATTTTTTTTTATAACTTTTTCAAACAACTTTTGATTTTCATCAAATTATACATTTATTTCATTTATATATTAACCTTATTGAAACCAAGGTGGTTATATAGTTTGGTATATTGCTGTCAATTCAAAAATTAAAATAATCTTGGTCAAAAAACCTAGAATTTGCAGTTCTAATTAAAATAAGATAGTACACTATAACATTTTTCATAACTTTTTTAAATTACCTTGGATTTTCATCAAACTATGCAGCTAACTGAGTTATAGATTTATCTTACTGAATCCCAAGTAACTAGGTAATTTGATATATTGCTGTCAAATTAAAAAATTAAAATATTCTTTGTCAAAAAAGCTTGAATTTGCAGTTCGGACTAAATATAGATAGTAAACTTTATTTTTTTTTATAACTTTTTCAAACAACTCTTGATTTTCATCAAATTATACATTTATTTCATTTATATATTGACCTTACTGAAACCAAGGTGTTTATATAGTTTGGTGTATTGCTGTCAATTCAAAAATTAAAATCATCTTCGTAAAAAAACCTACAATTTGCAGTTCAGACTAAATTCAGATAGTACACTATAACATTTTTCATAACTTTTTTAAATTACCTTGGATTTTCATCAAACTATACAGCTAACTGAGCTATATATTTATCTTACTGAATCCCAAGTAACTAGGTAGTTATATATATTGCTGTCAAATTCAAAAATTAATATAATCTTTGTCAAAAAAGCTTGAATTTCAAGTTCGGACTAAATTCAGATAGTACACTTTAATTTTATTCATAACTTTTTCAAACCAACTTGGATTTACATTAAACTATACAGCTATATCAGTAATACATTGAACTTACTGAATCCAATGTTTTATGCAGTTTGGTGTATTGCTGTCAAATTCAAAAGTTCAAATAATCTTGGTCAAAAAAGCTCAAATTTGCAACTCAGACTAAATTTAGATAGTACACTTTAATTTTATTAATAACTTTTTTAAACACCCTTTCATTTTCATCAAATCATACATCTATCTCATTTATATATTGACCTTACTGAATCCAAGGTGCTTTTGTAGTTTGGTGTATTGGTATTAATTGAAAAATTCAAATAATCTTGGTCAAAAAACCTAGAATTTGCAGTTCAGACTAAATTAAGATAGTACACTATAACATTTTTCATAACTTTTTTAAATTACCTTGGATTTTCATCAAACTATGCAGCTAACTGAGTTATAGATTTATCTTACTGAATCCCAAGTAACTAGGTAGGTTGATATATTGCTGTCAAATTAAAAAATTAAAATATTCTTTGTCAAAAAAGCTTGAATTTGCAGTTCGGACTAAATTCAGATAGTAAACTTTATTTTTTTTTATAACTTTTTCAAACAACTCTTGATTTTCATCAAATTATACATTTATTTCATTTATATATTGACCTTACTGAAACCAAGGTGTTTATATTGTTTGGTGTATTGCTGTCAATTCAAAAATTAAAATAATCTTCGTAAAAAAACCTAGAATTTGCAGTTCAGACTAAATTCAGATAGTACACTATAACATTTTTCATAACTTTTTTAAATTACCTTGGATTTTCATCAAACTATACAGCTAACTGAGCTATATATTTATCTTACTGAATCCCAAGTAACTACGTAGTTTGATATATTGCTGTCAAATTCAAAAATTAATATAATCTTTGTCAAAAAAGCTTGAATTTCAAGTTCGGACTAAATTCAGATAGTACACTTTAATTTTATTCATAACTTTTTCAAACCAACTTGGATTTACATTAAACTATACAGCTATATCAGTAATACATTGAACTTACTGAATCCAATGTTTTATGCAGTTTGGTGTATTGCTGTCAAATTCAAAAGTTCAAATAATCTTGGTCAAAAAAGCTCAAATTTGCAGCTCAGACTAAATTTAGATAGTACACTTTAATTTTATTAATAACTTTTTTAAACACCCTTTGATTTTCATCAAATCATACATCTATCTCATTTATATATTGACCTTACTGAATCCAAAGTGCTTTTGTAGTTTGGTGTATTGGTGTCAATTCAAAAATTAAAATAATCTTGGTCAAAAAACCTAGAATTTGCAGTTCAGACTAAATTAAGATAGTACACTATAACATTTTTCATAACTTTTTAAAATTACCTTGGATTTTCATCAAACTATGCAGCTAACTGAGTTATAGTTTATCTTACTGAATCCAAAGTAACTAGGTAGTTTGATATATTGCTGTCAAATTAAAAAATTATAATATTCTTCGTCAAAAAAGCTTGAATTTGCAGTTCGGACTAAATTCAGAGAGTAAACTTTATTTTTTTTTTAAACTTTTTCAAACAACTCTTGATTTTCATCAAATTATACATTTATTTCATTTATATATTGACCTTACTGAAACCAAGGTGGTTATATAGTTTGGTGTATTGCTGTCAATTCAAAAATAAAAATTATCTTGGTCAAAAAACCTAGAATTTGCAGTTCTAATTAAAATAAGATAGTACACTATAACATTTTTCATAACTTTTTTAAATTACCTTGGATTTTCATCAACCTATACAGCTAACTGAGTTATATATTTATCTTACTGAATCCCAAGTAACTAGGTTTTTTGATATATTGCTATCAAATTCAAAAATTAAAATATTCTTTGTCAAAAAAGCTTTAATTTGCAGTTCAGACTAAATTCAGATAGTAAACTTTATTTTTTTTTATAACTTTTTCAAACAACTCTTGATTTTCATCAAATTATACATTTATTTCATTTATATATTGACCTTACTGAAACCAAGGTGTTTATATAGTTTGGTGTATTGCTGTCAATTCAAAAATTAAAATAATCTTCGTAAAAAAACCTAGAATTTGCAGTTCAGACTAAATTCAGATAGTACACTATAACATTTTTCATAACTTTTTTAAATTACCTTGGATTTTCATCAAACTATACAGCTAACTGAGCTATATATTTATCTTACTGAATCCCAAGTAACTAGGTAGTTTGAT